AGCCAACCTTTGAGCAGAGTGCAGGGAATCTTATGAAAGAAGGGGGAAGATAGAAAGACCTGGAGGAGACAGGAGCTCCACATGGAGAGCAACAGAAACAAAAAAATCTGGGCACAGGGATCTTTTCTGAGACTGATACTCCAACCAAGGACCATTCATGGAGATAACCTAAAACCCCTGCACAGATGTAGCCTATGGTAGTTCAGTGTCCAAGTGGCTTCCCTAGTAAAGGGAACTGAGACTGTCTCTGACATGAACTGATTTGCCTGCTCTTTGATCACCTCCCCCTGAGGGGAGAGCAGCCTTACCAGGCCACAGAGTAAGACAATGCAGCCACTCCTGATGAGACCTGATGGACTAGGATCAGAAGGAAGGAGAGGAGGACCTCCAGTATCAGTGGACTTGGGGAGGGGCATTCATGGAGAAGGCCGAGGGAGGGTGGGATTAGGAAGGGAGGTGGGAGGGGGCAACAGGGGGATACAAAGTGAATTAAGTATATTTAATAAAAATTAAAATAAAAAAATACATCAATAAATATAGAATTAAAATTTTAAAAATGGTCAGAGTAGTTTAAGAGCTAATCAGTGGTTGCATATGGTATAAAGAAAATAATTTTAAATATCACTAAAATGCCATTTCATTTACAAAGATTTTTGTCAAACTTTAAATCCTGTCACTAGCATTTTACACCCCAGGGTTACGTGTAAAATGCTAAATAATTTGTCCAAATGTCAAATGCAATTTTCAAATTTTTTTTCTTTCCAAAATCTTAAACATCTGTAAAAAGCACTTGTTTTGATAGTGGTTAACATTTATGTCATTTGACCTTCTGTTGTATACACCACAAAATTCAAATCACAAATCCTGTGTAAGGAAGAAATCTGATCACTTCTGCAGTAGCCATCTGCATGACCCAATATCAAATATTAGCTCTAGATTGTACTAAATCATCTGTTACAAATCTGATTCCACAGCCCCTGCAATTAGTTGTAGGGGCTATCTCTTTTAAAATGTGTTTCTTAAAGGACATCTGGCCTTGAAATTTCTACCTTCCTGCTGAAAAAATACTTACTGTCTAGGTAATTTTCTTTCTTTTAATGTACAGTACCATATGGGTGGTATAACTAAGTCCAGATTTTTTTAAAACTTAAATTCAAGTAATATATGATGGTCAAGGACTATTAATTACAAACTATAAGTATAAAGGAAACTAGACTGCAATATAATTAGCTCCAGATTTATAAATAAATCTCAAATACTAAAAGCTCACAAAATAAATTTTTGTGAGAATGTGACATTGGCCTATTTATTTCCAAGAATCACATTATTTTAAGTGAAAATGAATAATATAGATTTGGAATCAAAAATTATAAAAACAAATACACATATATAGGACGCCAATGAGTTACTCTAACAAACTATTTATTTGAAATAGGAAATAATTTTAATAGGTCATAATGTTAATTTCACACAAATTAAAGTTCTTTTAAGATACACTAAAATTGCCTTATAGTTCTTATAAAGAATGGCAATTCAATCATACTTGTCAAGTCTTTTAAGACTGGAAAGCAATTAGGCAATGGCAGAGCGCACCCAAAGATTGTCCCAGCACAAAGGAGACTGAGGCAGGGGGTTAAGCCAAAGCCAGTCAAGCAAGGTCTTACCTCAGACAACCATAGAAATAAAGATCAAGTGCGCTAAGGAAGCAGTAACAAACTGACTGGCACACGCACTACTTCTCTGCAAGGTAAGTGGGAAAACATTTGTTTTCACAAGTCTGGTGTTGGGACCTATTTCCTCCTCTGGTGTCCATATGTGCATATGACAACACACAAATAATTTAATTTTTTAATAAATTTAACTCACACAAGAAATATGATTCTGAAACAAAAACTTCAAAAACAACAATGAAATCTGGTATAAACATAGATGTGTTTTCATGCCCCCCCCCCAAAAAAACCTGATCAATTTGCTGATCGAGAAATGTCATGTAAATAAAAATTCATTTAAGTCCTCTGCAAAAAATTCAAAACTCTTTGAATTTTTTACCAAGTTGACTGGAATGAGATTAACTAGTAAAAGCCATATTTAAAACTGGAGTTGACACAAAAGATAAGTAACAAGGAGGAGCCAAGGGAGGATGCAAAAATCTCACTCAGAAAAGGAGACAGAGTAGGCAGAGGCAGTAGTTAAAGAGAAGGAACAAGGTAGGGGCTGTAGAGAGATAAGAGGGTGGAGATCAGACCTTGGGAGAGTTGGGGGAGACGAGGTGAGAGGACAGAGGCCTGTTGAGAAAAGAGAAACTGAGGATGGTGACATCTCTGTGACAAGCTGGAGATCTAAGTCAGGGTATACTCCTGAGAGGATGAAGGAGATTCAAGCAGAGACTCCTTGCAAAGGCCATAAAGGCGGAAGAGGGCACCCTCTCTAGACTAGCCTCCTAGCAGAGGGAAGGGAACTTCAACCCATCCACAAAACCATCGACCCAAAATTTACCCTGCCAACAAGATGTGCAGGGATAAAGATAGAGCAGAGATTGAGAAAATGCCCAACCAATGGCTGGCTCAACCAAAGACCCACCCTATAGGAGAGTGCCAACCCCTGACACTATGAACAAAGCTCTGCTAACCTTGCAGACAGGAGCTTGACAGAATTGTCCTCTGAGAGGCGCTGCCCAGCAGCACTGAGACTCACAGCCAAACATTGGAAGTCTTGGGAAATGGTGGGAAGAAAGAAAAGAGGACCCAGAAGAGACAGGAGCTCCAAAAAAGACCAACAAAGCCAACTAACCAAAGCCCAGAGGGGCTTGTTAAAGCTGAAGCATCAACCAAGGACTATTCGTAGACTTGACGTAGGCCCCCTACAAAGAAGTAGCAGATGGGCAGCTTAGGCCTCATGTAGGTCCTCTAGTAAGGGAAGTGGGGATTGCACTGGACATGGCCTCACTTGCCAGCTTTTTGATCACTTTCCCCTAATGGGACTGCCTTGCCAGGTCACAGGGGAAAAGGACATGCTCAGTCCTGATGCAACTTTGTAAGCTGTGATAGATAAAAAAGGAAGCTCCCCTTTTCTCAAGAAAAGGGAGGGGAGAGGAAAGAGGTGTAGGAATGGGAGCAGAGGAGGGATGGGGTGACAACAAGGATGTAAAGTGAAGTTTTAAAAAAATTTAAAATAAATAATAAAAATAAAACTGGAGTTGATCAGACCTGTATTCTGAATACAAGTAATGAAAAGTCTACATGATCCCTAGGAGGGCTATGACTGATTGATTAACCAAATTTATATGAGAACACCCATTAGATACTTTATCCAAATTTAAAAAGGTTTTTTGTAAACTATGTTACTTTCATGGAAAAGTAGAAATTACATCTATTAGATATATTTGACAGTTGACATGACCCCAAGCTAAGATATATCAAATTAAAATTACTGTGGGAAGTAATATTAACAACTAGGCTCGGCAGTTCCTTACCTGTATACCATCTTTAAGTTTTAAGATGCATTCCATTGTATTGATGGTAATTACCACAGGTTCAGAGCCCAATTTTGTCCATGGCACATGAATCCTCAGTTCATGAATGTGGCCACTTAAAAAAGTGAATGGTAATTTCAGTTCCTTAAAACACAAAATATTAAAAAGAAGTTAGTAAATACTTAAAGTGTTTTTATTCTCACATATAAGCTCATTTCTTTTTTTTTAATTTTATTTTTTTCTTATCAGTTACATTTTATTAACTCTGTATCCCAGCCGTGTCCCACTCCCTCATTCCCTCCCAATCCCACCCTCCCTCCCTCATCTCCACCCTGCCCCTTTCCAAGTCCACTGATGGGGGGGACCTCCTCCCCATTCATCCGATCCTGTTATATCAGGTATCTTCAGGACTGGCTGCAAAGCTCTCCTCTGTGGCCTAACAGGACTGCTCCTCCCTTGGGGGGGGGTGGGGAGGCCAAAGAGCCAGTCATTGAGTTCCTGTTAGAAATAGTCCTTGTTCCCCTCACTATGGGAAACCAATTGGTTACTGAGCTACCATAGGCTACATCTGAGCAGAGGTTCTAGGTTATATCCATACATGGTCCTTGGTTGAATGTCAGTCTCAGAAAAGACCCTGTGCCCAGATATATTTGGTCCTTGTGGAGCTCCTATCCTTTCCCCATCATACTAACTCCCCTTCTTTCATATCATTCCCTGTACTCTGCTGAAGGTTTGGTCATGAGTCTTTGTATCTGCTTTGAAAACACTGCTAGTTAGAGTCTTTCAGATGCGCTCAGTAGACTCCTGTCATATGTTCAATAAGCTCATTTCTTAAAGAAAAATGAGTTTTTCAAAAAAAAATAATTGGGAGCATTACTGCTATTCAAAAATGATAAATGTTAAAGTACATGTAATAATAAATCATTAAAAATGTACTGTACAAGTCACATTTTAAAAGTTACCTAAATTCTCTACACTTTAGTTCCCTCCTCGGCCTAAAAGAAAAAGCCTACCCTCTATGTACATACAGCCAGTTTATAAATGCCGGTGTAGCAGCAGTCACAGAAGGAGTTAGCAGCAAGACTTGTGCTATACACTATGGCATTCTTCCAAAATCTCTAACATGCCTCAAAAAGTCTTTCTAAGACAAGTTGAAAAATAGGCTTACTTGGAGATAGGAGACTGAGCTGACAAAACAGAAACTGGACAATCTACTGTGGTGCACCTAATGAAATATTTAACCTAAATATGATGTGCTCATCAACTTGAAATGCTTCCAATTACTGTCCACTAGTAATAGGCAAAAGTTTAGAAAAAAAACGTAAGTTTGACCAAAATTATTTCATCCTAATCTCACTTCTAGACAAAACTTGCGATAAATCAAAGAAACTGTATTTGCTACATTTGTGCAATATTGCAGCTATCTGTAAATTTAATACTATTAAACATAATTTCTGCCTGCATCTTGTTTTAGGAACATAATAAAAGTATATTTAAATACAGGCAGTACATGTGAGTGGTTAAAAACAGTAGCTGTGGAACCATCTGACATAGATTCAGATCCTGTCTCTGTCATGTACTAAGCCAGTCACACTGGACAAATCTGTCTCATGTGCCTTTCATTATCTACAACTTTTAGATAAGAACAATAGTTTTAAGTATTAACCAATTCATTCATATAGTGTTTAAAATCTTTCTCATACAGAACCTATTCTAAAGATGCTAAAGAGTACTATTACTATTATTATTGGTATTGTTGTTATATAAGTGTGGGTCAAATGTGCAACCAGAGATTTTTTTTTTTTTGCCTAAAGCCAAACTACTAAAGTTTTACTGTGACTAACCTTTCCTAGTAAGTGCATCTCATTATAGTAAGCTTACAGTATTAACTTCTTCAAATACTATTCCACCCACACAAAAGCATATGCTAATCAGTATTTACAACAACACAATATTACTACACACTAACTGTATACTAAGCACAATTCTACGAAACAGCCCTGCATGTAATCCTTTAATTGTGAGGAGACAATGTGGAGAACTCCCCCTTTCAGTAGACTAGGGGAAGGGGATAGGAGTGAAGAGGGAAGGAGGGTGGGACTGGGGGAGTTGAGAGAGGGAGCTTCAAATAATGAATAAAACTGTGAAAAAAAATAATAAAAATCTTAAAAAAGAAAAAAAAAGTAGGTTCTGTCATCTACCTTTTAGAATGCTAAATATGAGGCATGAAGGATTGGGTAATTTCACAAAATAAAGCCTCGAGGCAAGACAGGATGCAAGTCAAACCAGATCCAAGTCCTTGCTTTTAAGCACTAACACTGCTGGTAGAAACCTCCTTTACCAGCACTGACTTCAACCACATCACTATGTAGATTCTTGGACAACGAGTGGTTATATTCCCACTCTCACACCTCCTGACGTATTCAACAATGTCAAATGAAGATGCAGTCTATGAACACAAATCAGAAGTTCTCAGAGAAATAAGAAACCCTGATTACATTCAAGAACTTTGTGTTGATGAATGTTAATTCATCAACTGAGCTACTAAAACAGAAGCATCTCCCTACATTAGCAAATGGAATTCTAAAACATACTGGCCACGTCAGTGGTACAAATCAAACTCTACAGTTAGTAATAACCTGATTATCAGCGAGATTGTTCACACAGAGTATTGTGATAAACAAGTATAAACACATGGACTTTGAAAAGGGGAATATATAAGTGATTACTGTAACAACTAGATCTTGAAGTAACCAAAACCAATTTAATTCCTTTCTGTTATTGTCACTCCTTGAAATATAAATCTACACCTTAAAAATGTTGTAGTTATAGCCCTTCCCTGGAATCTTTAAACATCCCCATAGAGCTGCAGATAAGCCTCAGCAATAGAGTGTTGTTACCCTAGTATATGTGAGGCTCTGGGTTTGATACCAGAACTGTAAGAAAAGGGATGCCAGAAGCACTTCCCGAAAATAGGAACTTCTATGGCTGCATGTAGACTATTACTAGCCAAGACTTAAGCTGAGAGCTAAATAGCTCTCAGAAATCTAATTCTAACCAAGTACAGTGAGCAATGCCTATAATCCAAGCTTTCAGGAAGCTGAGGAAAGAGGACCAAGTTTTAAGGCCAACCTGGGCAACATAGGGCTTCACCTACAACACTAATTACTTTTAGGTAAGCTGTAGTGGGGGGAGGGGTCTTTTTCAAAAACAAAGTTAAAATGTTAAATTAACATAAAAGGCAACAAACACAAAACAAATAAGTTTACATCAAATTTAAAACCTTTGGACAGCAACAAAAACAATCAACAGAGTAAACGGGCCACATGAACAATTAACAGATTTGAGAAAAAATATATAAAAACCATGTATCTGGAAAGGTGGTAATATCTAATGCAGAAAGAAAATTTCTAAAATTTGACTATCTAAAAAATCCTATTTTAAAAACTGAAGAAGCAAGCCGCACACACCTCTAATCCCAGCACCTGGACAGAAGTAGGCAGATTGTCTGTGAGTCTAGGGACAGCCTAGTCTACATAGTGAGTTTCAGGACACCCAGGTCTATTATAAAGACTTTGTTCCAAAAAAGCAGAAGTGAGTAATAACCAACTTGAACACAGACTTCTCCACAGAAGATGTACAAATGCCAACAAGCATATGAAAAGATGATCAACATTCAAATCAAGGATGCAAACCTAAACCAGTAAGATCATCGTTTATCAGTTAACATATACACTGTTAAAAATGTGATTGAAGACACACAGATCAATAAGAAATAATAGATTCATCGTTAGCAGAATATAAATGGGAGTTCTTCAAAGTAATACCAGATTGTAAAGCAAATCCATACAGAAACAAAAGGTAAATAGATAGTTATAATATAGTTGAGATAATTTTTCCTTGTTTCTCCTTCCAGTGAAGAAGACAATTACAAAAGGGGATGTTGTGCTGTGTTCCTGAAATACTCCCTCCTAGAAATATTGAGAAGCTCTCCCAACTTTCAAAACTCAGGAATCTGAGAATAGACACAAGGCTCCTCCCTAGTATAGATCAACAGTGATAATTGCTTGGTAGAAGAGACGCCTATTTGTAACTGAGCGCCTGCCAGCTGTGTAGAGAGCTCCAGGGATGCAGCTTTTGGGAAAACATCACCTATGCTGGGGTGAAGATTTCAATGATGCAGCTGTCTTTGCTCACCCACTATCCTCTTAAATCAATGGCTGTCAACCTTCCTAATGCTCCAACCCTTTTTATACAGTTCCCCATATTGTGACCATCCTAACCATAAAATTATTTTTGTTGCTAATTGATAATTGTAATTTTGCTACTGTTATGAATTATAGTGCAAATATTTGACATGTAGAATATCTGATATGCAACCCCTGTGAAAAGCCTTTCAAACTGCCAAAGGGGTCATAACCCACAGCCCAAGAACAATTGCTCTAAATCTTTTTGTAGCCAACTATAAGAAACTCACTATTTCACCAAGCTAGACTTGGATAAAACTGTTTCTTTCATCTGTTGTCAATGCTCTACCTCAACTAAATTGATGTTGTTCATGATTCCTTAGGGGTGGAAAAAAAAAAAAATAACAAAGCAGGGAACAAAGGCATTCTGAAGGAGAAAGTGTATTATAGTGACTTGTTTGGCTATTTTTTTTTTCAAATAAAAACATTTCCTCCTAGATTTATAAGTCTCAAAAAGCTAATGACCCATACCTTGGTTAGAAAGAAATGCCCCTCCCCCAGGTTAGTAATAAAGAATTACTGGACAGAGGAGAGGTTTTTTGGGTGGAGCAGCTTGCAAATTATGCAGTAAGCTCCAGGGATGCAACAAACATGAGCTGTCACCCATGCTAAGGTAGGATTTTCAGTGGTGTAAGTGCCTTTGAGACATCCCTAAATATTCACTAGTTTCCCAAGCCAAACTTAGAAAAATCATTTATTTAGTCTGTTGTATCTAGAGTGAATGGACATTTGTTTACATCTCCCCCAGAAAAAGGCACACAACAAAATGAAATGAAGGATACCAGATTGTGGTAAATCAAACTGCATATTGTAATCCTCTGAGCAACCACTAAAACGTAACTCAAAAATAACTTGGAATCAAAAGGAAAAGAAGACTAGAAAATCTCTACTGCTTAATAAAAATATAAATTACAAAGACACACCAGAAGAATAAAAATGACAGAAGACACAGAAAGGAATTTGAAAATGGCAGATGAAAATCCAACCATATAAATGTATGCACTGAACAAGAATGAATTAAATACTCCAACCAAAAGGCAAAGACTATCATATGATTATAATATAGACCAGCATGTGACAGAAGAAACACTTTAGATATGAAAATATAAATGAAATGAAAATAAAAAGCAATATATGTTTTGGTCCAGTATGTTTTGTATTGCTGTGATAAAACACTGACCAAAACCAACTTGGAAAGGTTTACTGGCTTACAGGTATAATCTGTCATCGAAAGAAGCCAAGGCAGAAATTTAAAGTCAGGAACTAAAGGAGAGACACGGAAAAATGCTACTTACTAGCTTGCTTTCCTGGTTTCTCAGCTACACTTCTTATACAGCCAGACCCACAGCAGGCTGGGCCTTCCCACACCAGTTAGCATTAAGGAAATGCCCCAGAGGCACGCCCACAGACCAATCCGATGAAGGCAATTCCTGACTGAGCTTCCCTCCTCCCAGGCATGTCAAGTGGACAAAATAAGTCATCACATATATAACGCAAATAAATGGTAATTACAGAAATCTAAAGTAATTATACTACTATCAGGTAAGAAAGACATCATAGGAGAAGAGGAAAAAAATGTTACTAAAGATGAAAAGAGTTGGAGAGTGAGCTAGGCTATGTGAAATCCTACCCAAAAAAGAAAATCCAATACGGGTGGACCTGAGTGATGGCTCTTACTAAGAAAGCCTTAATTGCGGGAGGGTGGGGGACACAATCCTGACTATAACTCTACCACCGGAGAGTGAGGAGAGACAGGATTGCTGGGATTAGATTCTATCTAAAAAGATACTGTGGAAAGTGATGGAGCAGTACACAAGAACACAAGTGTCCTCTTCTGGCCTATACACACATATGCAGAGGCACAAACATACATACGCCTCACGCACATATGCCATGCTCACAGACACCATGCTCACACACATAAATACATACATACACACACACACACACACACACACACACACACACATACACACACACACACATACGCACATACACACAGCCACATCAAATAAACCCAGAAAGGTGAAACAGGGCACCTAATAGTGATAAAAAGATCATATTCATGAAGAACATATAAAATAAGCAAGAAGAGTCATAAAATACATAAAGAAAATGAAAAAAGAAAACGACACTTCAAAAATAATAGCAGGAGCTGGAAAAAAATGGCTCAGTGGTTAAGAACACTTGTTCTTTCAGGGGACCCAGGTTTGATTCCCAGCACCCACGTGGTAGGTCACAATCATCTTTAACTCCCAGGGATCTGTGATACCTTCTTTGGCCTTAAGTCCAAGAGGTGAACGTGTGGTGCACAAACATGCATGCAGACAAAACATTCATACACCTAAAATAAATCCAAAATGTGGAAGATAGGCAAGATGTCTCAGCAGGTAAGGGCACATGCCCAACCAAGCCTGAGGAGCCTCAGTTCAATCCTCAGAATCTACGGAGTAAGGAAGAGAACCAACTCCTACTAGCTGTCCTACAACAAAAAACAAAGTCTATTCCCATCACATCTGCTCTACATTTTCAGAGTTTCTAGCCAGTGCAATAATAAAAATAAAAGTTATAAGCATTGATAGTATCTAACACGTTACATACTCATTAAAAAAAAAAACAAAAACACTGACTTAAAAGATATAAAACTAGGATTACTTATAATGGTATGACAGTGGACACAGACAATCAATCTGAAGGAACCTACCAAAAAAATGTTAGACAATTTAGAAAACAAACACTTCTTATCAAGCCCTAAGTATAAAAGAAAACACTGACATAACAGACAATAAATTTATAAACTTCTATTCATCAAGATACGTTTAAGAAAGTAAAAAAGACAAGCAAGAAACTGAAGATCATATATTAAAACACATATCTGACAAAGAACTGATTTCCCAGCTATAAAACAGGGGCTAGTGCATAGCTTAGTCAGAGGACACAGGCTTAGTGCATGTGAACTCCTGGGTCCAAAAACAATATAAAAATCAATCCCTAGACAGCAAACAGAAAAAGCAAACATTCATTCTTTCTCCTACTCTGTCTCAAAAAACTCAGAATTTACAAAAGATATCCAAGTAAGTGTTAGAGATAAGCAAACAGAGTACAATGCCATACCATTGCATACACATCCACCAGGAAGCCAAAATTCAAAGCAGCCAAGCATACTAAGTAGGAAAAAACTGTGAAATAATTAAAAAATTAAATGCAGAAATGGATTAGCAGTGTCTTAGGAGTGAGGTGTGGTGTCTTCATCCTGATGGTAAATTCCCAGGTACACCCACACTATTACACTTGGGATTTGTTCTCATTTTTAAAAACTAAAACAAAAACATTAAAGACATCCAACTAAGACCAAGGAAGAACAGGAAAGGAACTGAGTGCTTTTTCTAGATATCCAATAACAAGAAGGAACACACTATGAAAAGTATTGATAATCATACTCCCTTATCTCCCACAAAGCAGCTGGTCTCTGGCTCTTGAGCTTCTACAGATAATGAGTATCCTCCAGCACAACATATCATCCTTGGCATATGTTACTATTAAATGTGGTAAGTGAAAAATAAGTTTGTGAACTTTCAAGTCACAATTATTTGCATCAGGATTTCAATGTTTAAAAATATCCTAAAAAGTGATTAATAAAGAAGTTTTCAATTTTACCACCATTCTCAATTTGTCTACTCAATCTCTGAGGATACCATGAGTAATATCATTTTTCCTGACAAAAGGAATAGAACCTTCCTTGACATGTGTGTAACCTTGCCGACTTTCAGACTCTTCTACTGACCCAAAAGAACAAGAATGTAATGTTCTCCTGCTTCCGATGATATCGTAAGAGTGTGCGTATTTGGCAATGCTTGAAAATTGACTAAAAAGGCTGAAATTTTCTGCTAAAAAGAAAAACATAACTGTTTTTCTATCAGCCGAAAAAAATGCTTAGGAATCCTAATAGAATAAGCCGTTATGAGACAGAACGCCTTGTATTTTTCTATAAAATGAAATATCTATCTACACAGTAACCAAAACACGCTAACAAGAAATTTATGTCATTCAAAACATAGTAAACAGGTTATGTCTAACTAACCGAAGACGTTTTCAATGACAGCTGCACAGCTTACCTGTTCCAGAACATCTAACTTTAACTCGAGTTTGCTGAGAACCACGTCCCCACCCCATAGTGAAAGCTGCAGATCCGAAGGCTTTAAGTTCTTGATATAGCGATTCACATAGCTCATTAAAATTGGAGTTACATATGATTCCAGCATCTTCAAAGTTAGAAGTCAAAGCCGGATCCTGAAAAGGGTAAAGATGAAAATGTTTTACGTAACTAAACAGGGAATTGAAAGCACTTCTCAGGAAGGGCAGCTAGGGGCCACAAGCGGCCGCAGGCTTCTCCCGGAACGCCCTCCCCGTCCGACCGCCACTTCCCCGCTAACTGCGCGCCTCACCTGGCCAGGACGGGGAGGCGGCTGGTCACCTGGCCTGCGCAGAGAGTGCGGCCCCCTTCACTCCAGCCCTTCCGCAGCCCGGCCCGAGGAGGTCGGCTCCCGGAACGCAGCCGGATCTCCGGCCATAGAACCCGAGCTGTCGCCAGGCCCGCCCCGGCCGCCGCCGCACTCGCTCGGAAGGGAAGCACGCCACAGAGCGGCGGGAGGAGCTCCAGCTCCGGGCACCTGGCGGCCGCCGCAGCCGCGCCACTCACGTTCCGGGCCACTTCCGGGTGTGCCCGCTTAGTAGTCCGAAGGGCTTCCTCGGCGGGAACAGGGACTCGGAGCGTCTGCTTGGGACCACTCCGGCTTGGCTAGGCCTTCCTACCCCGCTAACCACCACGCTGGGTTAGGAGTCACCTAACCTAAGCGCTCGGGGCGGGGAGAAGGCGGGGGGTTGGGGGGAGACGGACCGGTAAAGTAAAGGCACCGGGGATCCGGAAGTGGTGCTGCGAGGAGAGGCAGTGGCCGGGACGTGACCCCGGTAGGGCCGGGAGGCTGGCGTAGCTGAGAGTCGGCGGTGGCGAGGAACGCTGGGCGCTGTGCCTTGGCGGTGGAAGAAATAGCCTTCGTTCTTCAAGCCCCAAAAAATAGAGAGGCGGTCCTTCCCCGTGTATAGTGGAGGAACTGGGAAGAGGAACTGGTGTCCGGTGGGGAGGAGGTAAAAGACAGGTAGGAGGAGCTAATAGGGCGGAAATTTTAAATTTACAGCTTTAAATTTATTTGCAAGGAGGGGAAGGTGGATATGGGAATGAAATTAAGAAGAGCAGAGATGTACAGCTTGGAAGAATGCGCTTAGACCAAACGTGTACGTAAACTCGTTCTCAAAAGAGTAGTGAAATAGTCCCTACTTCTCGTGTGCAGGTGCATGGGATGAACCACCGACCTATATATCGTCTGATATGGGGCTCCCCAAAAAGCTGAGGGAATGTCAAAATAAACAAGAGTCCTGGGCCAAAAGTGAGAATAATTGATAAGGAATAAATTCCGTTTTAAGGGCCAGTGTGGATTATGTTATGATGAAAAAGATGTATGAATGCTTCGTTGTGGGCTAACAGCAGAAACTACCTTGGAAATAGCACGGGGTATGCTGCCTCTATTTTTTATTTTTAACCAGCTTCTCTTACCTTGGGTAACCTTTGAAGAAAACATTGTGTCTTGAAAATAGTCGTTATAGGTTATTCAGTACCCACTCATGCTTAAAACTTCTGAACTTTAAAAAGAAATACTATTTCTTGAAAGAATTGGTGATTGCTATAGAAAATGGGATCTTTGAGAAGGCCAACTATCATTTTAATAGAGAAAATGATGTATTAGATTTCACACACAGAAAAGCAGCAAGCAATTGCTAATTCACGGCAGCTGCTTCCTCCAAAGCCTTAATAACCATGTAATATGAGTGTTATTAAAACTTAAATAACAAAATAAACATTTTTGTTAACCTGCAACACTTGAACAGCAGCTAGGTTAAAGCCTTGACTGAGAAGTTTTGATATTTAAAAAAAAAAAAAATGTTCTTGTCTCTAACATGAACTCAGTGGCTAACTCTTTGATCACCTCCCCCTGATTGGGGAGTAGTCTTACCAAGCCACAGAGGAAAACAATGCAGTCAGTCCTAATGAGACTTGATAGGCTAGGGTCAGAGGGAAGGGGAGGAGGAACTCCCTTCGGAGGAGATGAGGGAGAGAAGGTGGGATTGGGAGGGAATGAGGAAGAGGTCTACAGCAAGGATACAAAGTGAATAAACTAATTTATAAAAATATAAATAAATTTTTTAATGTGAAAAAAGTTCTACTAAACATACAGATGTGTGACAATCTAATAAAACACAGGATGTTATCCACATTCTTAAAATAAGTTGCAATACATGTGTTTGGTATGTTTTAGCATGATAAACGGGCCATTTTTCTCTTATAGCCAGAAAAAGGTGCCAAATCCCTAACATTATCTGCACACAGTTTGTTGTATTGAAAGTTAGTCATTTTCGGCCTGTGTTCAATGAACATTGTTATATATGCAGTTAAAATAAGTTTAAATCAGCCAATCATGATGGCACACACCTATAAACCTAGCACTCAGGGAGGCAGAGGCAGGCAAATCTCTGAGTTTGAGGCCAGCCTGGTCTACAAAGTGAGTCCAGGACAGCCATGGCTACACAGAGAAACTTTGTCTCCAAAAATCAGAAAAAAAAAAAAAAAAAAAAAAAAGCTCAGTTTCTTTTCATTAATATTCTTTGTCAAATGAGTAGGCTTTGCTCTACTCTCACATCTTTTCTAATACAACTCACATATGCACAAACTATTTTTGAAGTCTCTTCTGAAAGACTTTGAGGCAAATTGAGCAGATAGTAATTCTACAGAAGTAGGCCTCAGTTTGAATCTAAATAATCTGGATCTAAAAAGGATGCTTAGCAGAAACCCAACTTTCTCACAATTAATTATACTTCGCTGTAGGACTTTTATAGGTGTATATTAGCAAATGAGAACATTATCCGTTGTAAGTTTGCTAGTTTGTGTGTGTGAGTGTGTGTGTTTCATGAATAGGCCTTACGTGAATTACCTCCAAAGAAGAAATAGAATGAAACAGGAACAGAATACAGAGAACTACAATCATATCTGTGATATCTTAAAATACTTGATGTTAGAACAGTGTTTCTCAACCTCTAAAGCATACTTCAGAAATTATGTCCATGGCCAGTGAGAGAGTTCGACCAGTAAAGACTTTTGCTGCCACTTTTGCTGACAGTCTGAGTTGGATCCTGGAGGGTACATGACTAAAGGAGAGAACTGACTGCTACAAGCTGTTTTCTGTCCTCAGACATATACATATGTACATAAATGCATATATAATACACATAAATGTATAATGTAATAAAATATTTTAATTATGTTCCACTTTCTCCATAAGATTTATAAGTATTTGGTTTATCTGAATCACTATATAATTTAAAGAACAGTTCTTAAACAACAGGAGCTCTCTTAAGAATCTCTTTGTGCTCATTTTACTGAGCTGATTAATAGTGATGATAATAAAATATAATAATGTTACTATAATTAATATAATGAAATTAATAGTGTCCTCTAAAAAGATACGGCTGCATCCTGATCACCAAAACCTGTGACTGGTAATAGTTACCTTTTATATTATAATAAAAAAAAAATCTGATTTAGAAATGTTAAGACGGGAATGGTCTGGTTGGTAGCTTCACACACATTTAAACATGGAAAGCATTAACTGAATTCAGTAGGTTATTTTTTTAAAAAGACATTGTGGTGGCTTCAGTTAGAATGGCCCTGTAGGCTCATGTATTTGAAGACTTGGTCTCCAGGTGGTGAAACTGTTTGGGAAGGGTTAGGAGGATTGGCCTTGAAGAAAATGTATTACTAGGATCCAGGCTTTGAGGTTTCAGAAGACTTGCACACACACACCCTTTCTCTGTGCCTCTGCCTCTAACTTGGGGATCAAGATGTAAGCTCTCAGTTATTCCTGCCTTTGCTCCACAATCATGGACCCATGAGCCCCCAAATAAATGCTTATTTTGTAAGTTGTCTTGTTCATGGTGTTTTATCACAGCTATAGAAGAGTAACTAAGATGGACATAAGGTTGGGAGCTGCATGAGGGTCAGTCCAAGAGGAATTACAGAGAAGATTGGGGGATGAATATGTTCAAAATACATTGTGTCAAATTCTCAAAATTTAATAAAAAATAGTTTCTTCAAAAGAATATAAAGAGTTGTACCCTAAATCTAATGACAAGTATCTTTACAACAGTGAAGCAAAGGACAATATGAGCAAACAATACAATACTAAAGATTGAGAACTGTATGACATAGCTGAGAGTCAAGGAATGCCAAGAACCACCAAAGCTGGGAAAAGGCAAAAACAGATTGTCCAATAGAGCCTCCAAAATAATCCTGCTGCTAATTTTAGACTTCTGGCCTCCAGTACCATCAGAGAATAAGTTTCTGTTGTTTAAGCCATCCAGTTTGTGATAATTTGTTGCATCAGCAATAGAATCAAATAGCCCAGGAAAGATCAGCAAGACATCTAGTCAATATATAATGTGAATATTAGGCTAAACAGAACAGAAGGTACATGTTCATCTTTATGAACCAAAAGACTTGTTGGGACTCTTACAAGAAAAATTATAAACATCTCCGTAAGATTGGGATTTTATAAGTAAGTACTGTATGTAAGTCTTGAGTATTATCTCTCACTGCCAGGATCTTTAAATGTTATTGGAGCCAGTGAAATGGCTCATCAGAGAAAGGCTAAGTCAGATCCCTGGAACCCATATGATGGGGAAAGGGAACTGAGTCCCTCAAGTCATCCTCTCACCTCCACATGCCAAGGTACACTTATGCACACATATACATACACATACACACTTTCACACTGTGCTGGCTAGTTTTATATCAACTTGACACAAGCTAGAGTCATTTGAGTGGAGGAAACCTCAGTTAAGAAAATTGTTCCATAAGAGCAGGCTGTATTAAAGCCTCTTAACTGGTTCAGCAGTTAAAAGCATTGATTGTGCTTCCAGAGGACCTAGGTTCAATTGCCAGTACCCACATGGTAGCTCACAACTGTCTGTAACTTCAAGATCTGACACACACATGCAGGCAAAACACCAATGCACATAAAATACAAATACAAAAAGAAAAGAAACAGCTTGAGATTTGTCCTTAAGATGGCTAATGCTTGACCACCTCAGAAAAGATCCTGAACCTCCCCTTTACCTTGGCCAGGGAGGGTGCTCTTGAATCCATGAACTACATTAGAAACTATGAGATACTATGACAAGTTAGAGACATGGTAGGCTCCTGGGAAGATATGAGGGTGACTGTAGCTAAGACTCCTAGTAACAGGGATTGTGGAGACTGACCTCTAGTCATGGCTAGACATGACTATAACTAGACATGACTCCTATTGGAGGGAGGGGAGCACCAGCTCACCCACAAAAACTTCAACCTAATATCTACCCTTCCTATAGGATGTGCAGGGGCAAAAATAGAGCAGAGATTGAGGGAATGTCCAACCAATGACTAGCCCAACCTGAGACTCATCCCATGGGAAACAGCCAACCCCTGACAGACTAAGAATACTCTGCTATGTTTACATATGGGAGCCTAGCATAGCTGTCCTCTGAGTGGCCCCACCCAGCAGCTGATGGAAACAGATGCAGAGACCCACAACCAATCATTGGGTGGAGAGCAGGGAGCCTTGTGGAAGAGTGAGTGGGAAGGATAAAAGGACCCAGAGGGGACAGACCTACAGAGCCAACTAACCAGGGCCCAGGGAGCCTGTGGAGACCAACCAAGGACTATGCATAGACTGGTCCTAGGCCC